TTCCATAGTGCGGAGAGAAGGACTTGATTTTTCTGCCCTCCATGCCTCAGCTGCAGAAGCTGCCTGCTCTTTCTGCCATCATGCAGAAAAAGAAAAGTTCATAAACAGCCCTAAAACCCAGCAAGTAAGGAGCCTACAAATGCCGAAGTATTATCATCAAGTAGTCCAGTGGTCACCACTTCCTGCTCCCATTACTGGGGCCTGACATATATGAAGTGGTGATTCTGGAGTATAGTTCAGCCCCACAGAACAAAATTTTCTAGGGCAAGATCACTCTAAGGTCAAATCTTGAGGGGATAACACAGACAGCGACTTGGACCCATCTCAGTGCCATACTCTCTATCCAGCTTATCAGCCCTAGAGCTCACACCACCTAGCTCTTGCTTCCACTTCTCATTTGGTTCAAAATTTAGGAAGATTTGAGTAAAAAGACTAATGGTGACTCCCAGGGCCACAACTTTTACAGCCATCACACAGGTCATTATGACCTGATCTCTCTATGGGCAGGTGGATGCTGTACCATGATCTTTATATGCACCAACAGGGAGTCCATTGCCAAGCACTTTTCCAGAACTCAACATGCTTCACAATTCACTAGCTCACTTGGACATAGAAGGCTGGTCTTCAGTGAGGTGTTCTCAAAAGCCTGAAGGAAAAGAGAGGAGTATGGATAGCCACACCCAAGAAACTTCTGGACACTGGGCACTTGGTCCATGTTGGACAAAGACCTTAACTGACAACAGCACATCTTCCATCAGTCCTACACCAGGTCAGAAATGTTAGGTGCCATAAAAGGGCTGGGAGCTGTCACCTTGGCCTATACAGGACCTCAACACAAAACAAAAACCAGTGTATGAGCACTCAGAACTCCTGAGTCCTACAGTCATATGCTGTGCAGAAAGAGAATATCAGGGAATCTGCACAGTGGCCTTCAAAGAGGACCAGAGATAGCAATGCCCTTGTGCTGAGCTACACAAACAGAGACACTAAGTCACTGTCATCAACCCATCTGGATGCCCACCAGCACATTGGCCTCAAATGAGTCTTTAGCTCTCTGAGTCCCAGGACAAATTAGTACCCCCAAAAGATTCTTCCAGGGCTCGCCTTGTGCCCAGGGCCTCATGAGATGCTCAGAGAAATTTCCAGACACTAGTACATTAGTTCCTCGATTTTCTCTCTCTATTCAAGCTAGAAAAAAGCAAGACATAGGAACAGAACGGCCCAGAAGGCAAAGGTGTAGCTGCTCCCATACCTGCAAACACCAGAAAGTACAGTGGTGCTTGCTAGCCTCAACATCCAACTTGGGCTTGGAGATTTGCATTTGCAGTGAAAGTAACATATTCCCAGGAGAGGCCACTCCTCGCCAGCCTATCTCATCTCTGATGTGAGCACAACCATCGTTTCCTGAACCCTGGAGCAGAAATACAAACACCCTCTCTGGTGGTTATGGTCAGCAGGCTCTGGCCTCATGGTCCAACATAATTCACCACCACGTGTTTCATGGAAGCCCCAAGCATAGTAAGCAGAGTCCCATGAGACCCTTCTCTTCCCTATGCCACCCTTCCCCCACTAAGCACAGCCAACCTTGCAGGGGATTCCAGGGCCTAGAAAATTAGTCCAGAGGCCCACAGCTCATGCTGCTCCTGGCTCTGAGTTCTGAAGGACTGAGGTTCAGGAAAATGGAAGAGGCCACAAAAGCCTGACAAGTACTGTGGGATGAGCACTCCAATTTAGAGAATTAGGACAGCAAAGAGCACAACAAAAATTTATCACTGGTCATATCCCCCTTTTTAAACTCTCCAAATTGTAACCATGATAAGTCCTGCAAGGGACCTTTACCCTACAAAACATAACCCTGAAAGTCGACTTGTTGGGCTTCAATGTTCATCATTTTCCTACAGCAGCAACACCATAGGTCAGCAGCCATCCAGGAGTCAATTCCTACTACACAGACCTCAGGTGAATCCAACACTTAGAGGCAAAAGATAGCTCCATAACTTATCTGGTCCATCATCTAACTCTAGAAGGAAAGGGGGGAAAAAAGAAACAAGCCCAAGAGCCTTGGGAATAGGTCCAGGGAAAGCTGGGCTTGCCAACACTGCATACTCCATGGGCAGCTCAGGAGGCTGGCCAGGCCGATGTCAGTGTTGTAGGACACACATGTGGTCTGTGTTGAGTCCAAATGAATGAACTGTAACAAGAGGTTTGAAGCAAAGTAACTTGGATATCAAACAAATCAAAGGAAACTGATACTGCATGTGAAAAGCTGGCTTGGCCTTTTTTAGCCTGGCTGGGGAGACAGCCCCAGCCCTGTGCAGAGTTTCTGGTCTCCTCCTTTTTACTCTCAGCCCTGAGCTGGCCTCTAACTTGAAAGAGCTAATTAAAGCCAAATGAAAAATCAAAAGCTTGTTATCTGGCTCCATTACTCCCAATCTTGGTGTTAGTCTGTCTAGAAAATCTGTGTTCCCTCTGTTCTCTCCAAGGCTACCGTGTGGTGTTAGGACCTGCAGTGCTGCAGACTTCCACAATGAGCTTGGCTTTTTGTATTGTGGAAGGGACCAAGGGCAAGACAAACACCTGCCCATAGCAGTCAGATAAATTCCTGCAGATGTTTTTGCTCCCCAAAGCATAAACTAAGACAGAGTTTGAGCAAGTTTCCTACAGGAAAGTATCAGAAATTGCCAATCCCTCTGATCTTAAAAGTACAAGTTGCTTAGTGAATTGACAGCATAATTTTACCATTTTCTAACATAGGTTGCACATGTGCACAGTTGCAAGGGTATTTAATGTACGTCTACAAGTGTGTGTGTGTGTGTGTGTGTGTGTGTGTGTGTGTGTGTACTTCATAGGCAAAGAGGATTTTTCCCCCAGTGCTGACTCTGCCATGTACCCACAAAATCTGTGACCTCGGGCAATTCATTCACCTTGTTGGGTCTCAAGGAGCTCAAATACAAAATATGGCTTAAACCAGTTTATAGTTTGAATGTCTGTCCCTTCTCAAACTCAGGTTGAAACTTAATTGCCTTCCTGACAGTATTAAGAGGCAGAATATTTAAAAGGCGATGAGGCCATGAGGGCCGTGCCCTCCTGAATGGATTAATTCTATTACCATAGGAATGGGGCAAGGACAAGTTCAGGTGCCTCTTGTTTTTTATCTCCCCTTTTCTTTGTCCTTCACCATATGATACCCTTTACCATGTAATGATGAAGGAAGAAGGCTGTTACCAGATGTAAAAACACTGATCTTGGACTTTCCAGCCATCAGGACTATGTGAAATAAATTTCTGTGCATTATAAATTGCCCACTATCACTGTTCTAGTTGGATCTTCTCCATACCAACATTCTGATGTATCTTCCCATGGACCTGTGTTTGAGTGTGTACAATACATACACCAGCCTATCACTGTCTTCATTTGAGAGCAGTTCATGGCCCCACAAGTTTATAACCCTGTCTCCTAGACTCTCTTGAGTAGATCAGACACTATCCCAAACAAAGGCTCCAGGAGGCACTCCCAAAGCTTAAATTGCCAGTTAAGGCTCAACAAATGTCAAAGTTCCTTAAATTTTAGTGTCTGGCTCTTACTCATCCATCTGTTACTTCCCTATTTGGACCATGGCACCTCTCCCATTATTTGTCTCTTGGCTTTTAAAACCACTAAGGAGGAATGAGGTCTTTTCATTTCAGCCCAGATACCTAGGAATCTTGTCCCCAGAAACAGCCTGAGTCTACATGTCAAGGCACAGTGACAAACTTTGGTGTTTTCTCTACCCTCTTCATTACCACACCCCAAGAGTCTCAACTGCCAGAGGAAGAGTCTCATTCACCATGCCATGAGTAAAACTGATACCAGTGTCCTCTGAGGTATGCTTAATAAGACAATTTATGAAGGGAAACTTTCATTTTTTAAGTTAACCAAAATGCAGTTCCCTCATGACAGTCCACTGAAGTTTGCATATGAGTCAAGAATTACATCAGAACAAATGCAAACTTCTATCTGATGGGTAGATTTTTCCTTTCTTCTTTTCAAATTAAGTAATCACAAGACAAACTGCAAATTAGGTTCACAATTTTTAAAAGAAAAATGGAAAGGGGAGTACTGAGAGCATAGAAGATGTCAACAGCTGGACCTTGCAATTCACTTGAAGGATGATTGTTGGCAATAGAACAGTACACTTTGGAAGATGAATAGAAGTTAAGCCCAGAAAAGCAGATGCTCTTCAAACTGGGTCACGAGTAAGCAGGACTGGAGAGGCGGGACGCTGTTTCATACATTCTATCTGATGTCACTCTGCAAGGTGTCTGTCTGTTCCTCAGGCCCTAAAGCCATGGGAAAGCCCCTGAACCAACCCTCCAATGCCCCTTTCTGCATTTTGATAGCACTTTGGTCACCTAGGGCTGCTGCCTGACTTTGTGTTACTTCTTTTCCATTGTACCATCCGCACAAAAGATGCTTAAACATAGCTTACTTCTTCCTATTTTCTCTCTCAATATGCCATTTCCTAAAGATTAAAAAGAAGCTGAGACTATAACTTTCCTGAAATCCCACATTCACCCCAAATGTGGAATGTCTTCTCTTTCCCCACTCCTCCATGGCTTTATTTTAGCTTCCAAGGAAAGTGACTTACAGGCTTGGTCCATTAGAAAGGTAAGCACATGTCTTATGCTATGGCACAAGGTAGTCCAGGCTTTACTAAATCTGTGCCTAGGACATCGTTACACACATTCCCACCATTCCCAGCACTCCCTTTCATTACCAGTGAGACATTATGGAACAGAGAACAGTACACCAATGGGAAATGGATATTTCTGCTCCAGCTCTGACTTTTACACACTCAGGACAGTTGAGCAGTGATGGTCTGAGTCCATTGAGACCTAAGATGAGATGTATTCATCCCATCCACAAAAAAGGAGGAATGATAACACCCCATGGAGGCTACAGGGTCGGGGTACCTACAGTCCGCAACCCAGCATCCCAGCCACAGGGCTTCCCCAACTCACCGCACTGCTGCAGGGGATGTCTTTCACCTTGAGCCAGGCCAGGTCCAGTGTGCCTTCACCCCGGTAGCAAGATTGTAACCGCTCCTTAATGCGGTCATTGATCTGCTTTAAGATGAAGATACACAGTGCCGACTCATCCAGAGACTTCATTTTCCGCTTCTGGCCCTTTGAGAAGACAGTGTAGAGGAGGTCATCATCTGGATGAACTCCCAGGGTCCTGCCAAGCACAGCACCAGCTTTGGACAGGTAGGCAGCCTGCAGCAAGCGGTACTCCACCCCACTGCGCTCACAGCCAATGGGTACCTCCACATAGGAGTTGAAAGCGGTGTCCTCCTTGCAAAGTCGCACAAGTTTGGATGTGTACACCTGTTCCTTTGTAGTGGAGCCTGGGGGAGACACCATCTCAGGCTGCAGCGTCAAAAAGTAGACAAAGTTGCCACTGCTGAAACCATAGACATAGTAGATATCAAAATCGGGGATGACCGTGAAGGTGTCCGAAGGGATCTTAATCATTGAGGCCACAAACTCATCATGGAAGACATAAGCAAACATTCCATCTGCCTCGGAGTTTTTGGTCAACTTCCTGCTAGAGATGGTAGGAAAATACTCAGGCTTTCCATCCACTGCTGTGGCAATGAAGAGTTTGTCATCCAGGTTGCTGTAGGAGACGATCACCCCGAAAACTGAGCCACTCTCATTAACCCCTGACAGGTAGTGCTCCTTCTTGTGAAAGGGCTCCCCCAGTTTGAAGAGGTCCTCTAGCCTCAGGAGCTTGCAGATGCCCTGGTACAGGCTCCCACATGCAATCAGCCTGTTCTCCTTGTAGTCTATGAGGAGCATCTTGTTGACATTGTTGGTGCTGGTCAGGGGCTCATTGCAGGTCTGGACAATGCGGGGTGGGTAGCACTTGGGGTTGTCGTCATCTGGCCCTGTCTGGTGGGTCACCAAGACCTTCAAGTCACTGGAGAGCTTATAGATCCGGTTGACGGCCCCCAAATAAATGTGCCCTGTCCTCTCATCCACCACCAAGTGATTAAAGCCCTCAGTGGGCTCCCCTTGAAATGTGACAAAAGACCGCTTCTGAGACAGTGAGGGTGGCTGCCGGGGGAGCAGAGTGGAAGAGCCCATCCCCACCATGAGCAGGTGGGAGAGTAGGCAAGTCCAGTTCCAAGGCATGGCTTTCATTTCACAAGTGGATCCTCGCAGCACAGCAGCACTCGGACACACCTGTGCCCTCGGAGGGCCAGGATGCAGCAGGGCAGTCTCCCCTAGTGGAGAAAGAAAAGACTGAAATGTGAAGGAACTAGGGGCAGGGCAGGGCTCTATGGCACATCATAGTTTATCTGGCTGGACTCAGCGCATTCCGCATGAATGTACAGAAATGCCTCAGAGAAAGCTGAGGGCCAATGACCCCACCATAGGTGGTGTGCAAGACAGCTACAGCTGACTGGCAGCAGGCCCAAGAGGACACTTCAGCAATGATTACAGTACTGTGATGATAATAATAATGGTGGTTTTGATGATCACCATGATAATGGCCATCATCGTAATAATAGTGATGATGATCGCGATGACAATGATGATGATAAGAAAAAATGTGTACATATTGAGTGTGACACTGTATGGTCACTGTCTGGCACCCTATGGTGACAAAGTCATTTCACCCTAGCAAGCTCTTTAGTGCTAGGTATCTTCCACTCGCCCCTCCACATCTACTGCCCATCCTTCTCTGGGCCAGAAGCACTATTCCCCATGGACCTTACCCCATTGGGCTCCCTGCTCTTGAGCTTAGGTAGAAGCCACCATCAGGCAGCATCTGCAAAAGCCAAAGGGTAAGGAAACTCCACTGGCTGGAAGTCGCCCACAAAGTTGACCAGGGCAGGCCTCTCTGCCCTGCATCTCTGTCTCCAGGTTCCGTAGATGATTTCCTGCCAGGCCCTATCTAGCCCCAGAGGTGGTAGCAAGGGTTTCATTGATGCTGAGTCCAAATACAGCACTGCCCCTGAAGGAACCACATTTTTATGAAGAGTCCTTTTATTAACCTTTGCTCAAACTTGAATAAGCTACTTACTTCCTGCTGGAACTCTGAGTAATGACCTTGGATGTACCTATTATTTTATCCCCATTTTATAACTAAGGAAGGCAGCTTGAAGAAGTTATGCAACTTGCCCAGATGAAAGTGGCAAAGGTGCACTCAAACCCAAGTGATATAAATCCAGACTGGATCCTCACTCTTAACGCTAAAATGTCTCAGTGGAACCTGACCTTGCAATAATGAGGCTGCACAGTGCTTCCTGTCACCCACAACAGAGCTAAAGCTGAGCCTTTTTTTCTGGGTTGTCCATTGCAGCTGCTGCCTCTGGCCTAGTGTCTGGACCTACAGCAGGGGGACTTTTCCTTTGCACCGCCTCTGCCAGATGGTGTAGTGAAGCCAAATTAAAAACTCTTATGCTCCATCCTTTCCCACTGTGGCAGCCACCAGGCCTTCTGGGTACACTGCCCAGCTCCAAGCCCTCATGTCATTTTAACAAGGCCGATCCTGGCTGCTTCCCACAGTGGGGACTCCTCTGAGAGGGTTTCATTAAAGGGAGATAAAAAAAATTGCTTTATGATGACAGTGGTCAAATAAATAAATAACTCCCTCCAGAACAAAATCACTGGCCATCCTAATGGTCTCCTTCATTTCTATTTGGGATGCTTTCTGCATGTGTTTCCAGTGAACAGCTTCATATTTCTTGCAGTTGGAAGACATCACTGCAGAAATTGCTGATGTCTTATTTGGGGATTTCTAGGCTCTGTGAAATTTCTCTTCCAAACTCCTCAAAATGAAGGGACAGGATTAAGTAGAGCACAAGAAACAGAAAATCTCCCCAGCAAGGAGAAAGCACAAGGTTAGCTAAACAGAGAAGAAAAGGAAAAACAAAATAAACACTTTGCATCATCAGCCAAAATCCTAATGAAAAATATAGGTTTCCTCAAACAGACATAAAGGGAAGTGGGGGAAACAATTTTAGGTTAAGACTCACACAACCAACAGCGGTCAGGCAAACTAAGGCATACACAACACGCGCAAGACTCTGAAGGACCAAAGTGGGGGCCTCAAAGAACTCATGGTCAAGTCAGGAAGAAATCACCAGAACCTTAATTCATGCTCATGCTAAGATGTTATGTGACACATGACAGAGTGTCTGGGGGATTCATGGGAGGAAAGAAGCCTTCTAACTTGGGGTGAGGGAGCAAGGAGCAAGCGTGGGGAACTTTGGGGTGGAATCTGAGCTGAGCCCTAACCTCAGAGAGGACATGCAGGCTGGAAGGGAAAGGCCTTCTATGTGGTGGGTTCCATACAGCAAAGAGGGCACATTAAAGCAGGGTATAGTCAAGGAAGAGTTATACCTAGAGAACGCAGTTCACAAAACAATCAGGTAGATGATATGGCTGAAAAAGGCAAGTCATAAGGCTTGTCACAATTTCACTGGGAAGTTGAGGCTAAAATTCACAGTTTAGGAAAGAATGTGAATGTAAAGGGAAGAGCAAAGATTCCCAGAGAGGAATCGCCATGCTCTGTCTATGCAACTTGCATGTTGGCCAAAAGATTTTAGACCCAAGGGTCTGTGAGCTCCGTGAACTCCCAGGTTCACTAGACTTCCCACAGCACCAAAGGTTTGATAGCATCTAGTAGAAGCTCAACAACCATTTCTTGACTGGCACAAAGAAGGTCCAGAAGCCAGGATGAATCACAACATGTGTGTATGATTTACTGTACCCCAGGGCCTAGGCAAATGCTCTCATAATGATTCACTCATGTTATCATCACAAGTGTTTTCTACAGGTAGGATGGCTTTCTCTTTTTCTCAGGTGAGGAAATTCTTTAATTCTGCAGGACATGTTGGAGTAAGTGGACAGAGTAAGGGATGGAACCCAGGTTTTTACCACTGCAAAAATTCATGTGCATCCTAGCAATACACAATTTCAGAATCCAGAATATAGAGCTCTTGGAAGCTCTTTTTAATTTGTGTGAGTCTCAAATACAGATATCCCAGGACATCATCTACCAACCCCTGGAGAAAATGGGAGTCCCTCTGATCCACAGAGCTTTGCCTGGTAGGTGATGCCTGTCAGTGGGTACTACCACATACCTCTCTAAGCACTTGGCACAGTGCCTCTGCTGGTACAAAGTGGGTCCTTAATATGTGATAGTAGGTGGTGTTGCTTTTGTTAACAAGATTGAAATAGGATTAGAGGGATGAGGATTATGATAATGGGATGGCACCTGCTGGGTACTTCTCAGTACAAGTGATAAGAGTCAAAACAGTTCCTCTTCAATTGCTTGTGAAAAATCCAAATATCATAAAGGATTCTACAACGTTTTTGATTAGGAAGAGATAATCTAGTTTAATGATTCCCAATTCTTGATTTTAGAGAGAAGGAAGGTGATATCCAGAGAGATCAAATGAACACACAGCATGTCGCAAAACGTATTAAAGGTGGAGAAAAGGAAAAGTTCAGGTCTCTGACTCCAAGACAATTGCTCTTTCCACTACACTTGGCCTCTCCTCTGACTTTATCTAAATCCACTCCAGCATCTGCTCCCTGGCCTTTGTCCGAAAGCAACCACTCTTTGGGCACCATATGCTCTGCAGGCTAACACAGTTATCAAAACAGCTCTGCCAAGAACTGAATTCCAGCAGGGCTGGTAATCCTCATTCCAGACAGGCAGGTGCAGTTCAAGCTCAGCCACCAACCATTCTCAGCAGTCCCTGTGTGGGAATGTGCCATGCATCTGGGAAAGTGTGCCTGCCACCTTACTCTATGCACTTACAGACCATAGCCAATCAACAGTTCTCTAGTCTGCATGAGGCGAGACAACAAAGCCTATAATTATGAATTATGAACAGAAAGTACCATACACATTCTCCATTTTCTGTTAGGCACTGAAATGAAACAGTTATGTGTTTCAAATTCACATCACACTCATCTGGGGATGGTGAAATTATTCTGCCTATAGGTGAGGGGGACCAGCAGAAACAATGCCATTTGATGGGATACTCATCCTTGCATTTTCCACCCCAGGAAAAGGACTGATTGGGTAACAAACAATGGAGAAAAAAAAGAAAGGGGAAAAACCACCTGGGCTCTTGCTGGCCTCACAGAAGACCCACTGAGTATCACAATGAAGGTGGTCTAGTGGTGGCCTCTTAGCCCTGCCTGGAACTCACAGACAGGCAGAGCCACCAGTCCCTGCTACTTAGGCCTACCTAAGGCTGCTCTCACATGGTAAAACTCGAGCTTCCCTAAAGGGATGTCCCCTCTAGGACATCAACCCTTGTAAACAGCCACCTCAGCCTAAGAAGCCTCCAATATAATAATTTCTCTCCTAAGTTTTCATTTAACTGATTTCAAAATAAAGCCTTAGAGATAACATTCAGCCTAGATTTCATCCTTAAAGGCAAGTAGTAGGACAGAGTCACCTCAAGACTGCTCAGAAGACACTCTGAACCAGGTAGGGTGGAAAAGTGGCCAGAGGACAGGAGACCCAAAAGACTTGCCATCAAACCCAAACACATAACACTTTCCCCCTCTTTGAGATTGTATTTTAAAACTGAGTGATCTCAGGAGAGATGGGGCTCATTTTTTAGAAGCTGATCATCATTCTGATTAAAGCAATTGGGGCTGTCTTTGTTTTATATGGCAAGTTCTGAAGAGCTCAAACTAATTTTCATGAAGTATTACCATCCTCTTAGATTCCTGAGTGGTAAAAAGTTATTATAGAGCAGTTTAAAATAGCAATTACTGGACTTCCGGGAAAATGGTAGGATGATGAGTGGCAGAAAAACAGTCTCTCCAATATTTGGAATCCATACACTGGAATATAGCAATGTAAAGAGGAGAAGGAAGAGGGAAGTAGGTCCTTGGGACCCAGAAAAGATTTGAAGCAAGAACTGGAGTCCACAGGGAAAGCAAAGAGAGGGAAAATAAAGAAGAGGGAGGCAGCAAGCAGCTCTTCTCCATGAGCCCTGGCTTGAGGTGTGAGAGAGGTGGCTCAAACCTGCTGCACACTGACTATTGGTGACCTCAGAAGCCTCCATGGAGAAATGCACCAGTGGAATGGAGCAGTGAATGCTGCAGACTGCAATGGTTGGTGAGTTTTTGGGTTCAAATGTCCCCCAGGAGAGGGCAACTGGACAGTCACCATTGTGGAAAGGGACAAATGAACTCAGAACTCAAAACAGTTGCAGGTTGTCTCCATCTATCAGCTTCCAATATCAGG